AAGGGGGAGGGATGCCAGCGTTGCTGGAGGAAACGTGCCAGCAGTTGGGTCTGATCTGAGGTCTCATTGGTGTAATACTGTGGAGGAATGAAGGGATACAGGTGTCCAGGGCATTCTGGGTAGCTGTGTTGTAGCAGAACTTTCATCCACGTTACTCTGTCAATGCAGGTGAGCGTCCCTTCAAGTGCCCCTTTGTGGGCTGTGGCCGTTCTTTTACCACATCCAACATCCGCAAGGTTCACATCCGAACGCACACAGGCGAGCGGCCGTACATGTGTCCGGAGCCCAACTGCGGAAGGGGCTTCACCAGTGCCACCAATTACAAGAACCACATGAGAATCCACACAGGTAAGAGGAGGAGAAGGTGAAACAGCTCCTCCCCAGTGAGTTGGCTGCACTTACAGCTTGTGGCAGCAGGGAAATCTGTGGGACTGCAATGGTCATTTCCAGGCCAGACATTGCAGGGGTAGATCTGGGAGTGGCCAGCGAGTTAAAGGAAATAGGAATTGCTTTATTGGGCTGATGATTGTTCTAGTGGTCTCTCTCCAGCTCTTCCCTCTTGATGGGGAATCCCTCTCCAGAGCACGAGGAGGGTGAGTGGGTTAAGCCCTGCTTCTGTGGCCTCTGCCCTAGGAGAGAAGCCGTACATGTGCACTGTTCCGGGCTGTGGAAAGCGCTTCACGGAGTACTCCAGCCTCTACAAGCACCACGTGGTCCACACGCACTGCAAGCCCTACACCTGCAATAGTTGTGGGAAGACCTACCGCCAGACCTCCACGCTGGCCATGCACAAGCGCAGCAGCCACGGCGAGCTGGAGGCCACGGAGGAGAGCGAACAGGCCCTCTACGAACAGCAGCAGCTGGAGGGTGAGCAACCACTCTGCTGTCACCTGTGGCGAGTTTGGGTCAGGCTGTGAGGCGATGGGGAGAGAGATGACAGCAAGAGCCTGCAGCTGCTCCCCTCTCAGACCCAGGTCTGTGCTGTGGCCTCCTGCCTCCCCCATCTAACCCAGATCTGCCTCACAGACGAGAGAAAAGGGCTCCCCATGGCCCTTGTGGTATATCACGCATTGGGAATGGACTCTTGCCCATTCTGTAGTACAGGGAGGGGTGAAAAGCCTTCTTCCCGGGCCAACGCTGGGCTGCTGTCATCATGATCTTGTGCTCTTCTGTGCTGGCCCTTCAGGCAGCTCCTGGGGTCAGGCCTGTGCTTGCATGCTCTGATTAGTGCTTCTCTCACCCCTTTGGTTCTTCCCCTTCCCTGACTCAGCTGCTGCTGACAGAGGCTCCCCCCTGAAGGGCCAGCATATTGCTTTCCTGTCAGAGATGGAGGAAGAGGAGGAGGAAGAGGAGGATGACAATGGTATGCCTACGCAGGTCTCGCTTATCTCTCAGGATGGGACAGAGCAGGTATGGACACTGACAGCCTCCAGCATATGAGGGACAGCAGTTAACTGGGTAAGATTCTGCCTCTGCCCAGCCTTTAAGGCTCTTTTCAGCTTAAAACAGACCTTGGAGCTTCATGGGCTCTGTCTGCCGTGAGGGCTCCCTCCTCACAGCCTTACCCTGCTGCTGCCATCGCGATGTGGAGGGTAACGAATGGGCCTCTGGTCCCCAACTCGCCTTCTTGATGGATGGGGTCTTGCAGGCGTTTGCCCAGGCTTTCCTGCAGCGCCTGGCAGCCCTCGCCTCCCGGTCAGCTCTCGAGAGGCAGCTCCCAATCTCTGCTGATGCAGGCTGGATTTGGAGACTGTTTTTTCATCGTTTGTGTATGACAGTGGTTTTCTTGTACTTCCCTCTACCAGCTGCCCGTGTGCTGACTGGGAAAAAATCCCTTCTGTGGCACGGGACAAAGGAAACAGCTGCCACGGGTAACGCTGGTTTCCTCTTAGTCTGAGACGCTCCCCCTGCAGCGGTGCACAAGCTGTCCCTTCACAGCCTGGAGAGGAGATGCTAAATGGGGAGGGGGAGGTGTGGGAGAAGGAAGAGGACTGGAGGCCTGAGGTCTGGGAGTTCCCCATCGATTCTGTCCATGACCCCGGACAAAGTCCTTGGAGTTCTCTGTGCCCTAGGTCCTGCGGGCAGAGGAGGAGAGAGTGTTTCATCCTTACTGAGACCGTTGTGTTGCTAAAGTCGGGAGTTGCGTAAGGCTTCCTGAGAAGCCATCCTGGCTGAGAGCAGCCGATGTCATCCCCCCCAGGTCAGTTTGTCACAGGAAGACCTGCAGGCCCTGGGCAGTGCCATCAGCATGGTGACACAGAGCGGTGCCCTCGCCATGCCCGAGGAAGAGCTGGTGGGTGGTGACACACACACCGTGACTGTGGCCAGCACGGATGACACCGAGACACAGCCGGTACAGACGAAACTGGGACCTTCCCTTTTCCCTGTGGAGAAACAGCCTGCTAGAAGGGAATTGCATTTTCTTTTAAAATGTGATTGGCTTTTTATCTTCGCTTTTCCTAGGTTACCATAGTCACTTCTGGGGCAGTCATGTCTGAAGAATCACCCATCACATCCCTCCATCATCAGCAGGTGGCATTGCTGGCTACTGCCAACAGCACCCACGTTGCAGTGCAGGTATCGCGCCGCTCCTGCCACATTCCCCCTCATTCCCCCATCCACCCTGGGCTTCAGCACTTACCCTCTTGCTCTGCTGCATCTCCTCTTGCCCAGCACGCTTGCTCCTTAATTCCCAGATGCCCTGTGTCTAGAGGAGAGCAGGGAGGTGCTCCTCGGGTTGCAGAATGCTCCTTTGTAAACAGCCTTTCCCCATCGTAGCTGTCTCTCTCTGCCCTGCCACTTTCTCCCCGTGTCACCCACCGCTGATCCTTTGTACCTCTGTCCTGCTGGGGGCTGCCCCGAGCGAGCCCGCGCCTCCTGAGCCCCTTTTTGGGAGGACAGCATTCTCTCTCTCCCTTTCCTCCGCTAGTTAGAAGAGCAGCAGAGCCTGGAGGAAGCCATCAGCATGGCCGCAGCAGCAATCCAGCATGAACCTGTAACGCTTGACGCAGCCGTGTCTGAGAACGGGTGCTGAGACCCTGCCGAGCCTCCCGGGCAGGGAGAGCGGGCGGCCCGAGCCTTGTTCTCTGCGGGAGCTGCAGGAACCAGGCCAGCTGGCGCACGGAAGTGCGGTACACGAGCGAGGGAAGGTGTCCGAGGCCAGCGGCCAGCGTGTGCGCCACGCAGGCGGTGAGAGCTGATGCCAGCAGCGTTCAGCTACCAGAGCGACCCTGTTCCCAGGGCTCTCCTCTCCAAGGAGGGGTGTCAAAGATACTTGGCTGAATGCCTTCTCCTGGAGGCTCTGCTGTTTTCCTGGGCTCTGAGCAGCAGCTTTCCTGCTCCTCGCCTTGGGTGCTGACTCCCCCTGTCTGGAGGAGATGGCAGGTTGTGTCTTCTATTTGTTTCTTCACGGCTAAGATTTCCAAGACCTGCCGGTCTTCTGCAGAGGAGGTGGAGCCACAGAGATTTCAGCAGTCTCTGGGAGTGCAAAATATTTTTGGAGAGGCGTTTCCTGCCCCTCTCCCTCTAGGAATGGTCCAAAAGCTCCCCTTTCCTGCCCACCCCTCCAGGTAAGGGACAAGTGGGCAGCATATGCACAGAAGCAATAAAGCCCCATCAAAGCAAGGCCAAGCCGTCCTGGGCGCAGTGTCTGGAGTGGTGACCAGTTCTTGGCACTGGAGCGAGTGCCCAGGCTGGCTCCGACAGTAATTCTCCCATTTCTTCATCACACTCCGCTCTCGAGCGAACTTCCTTGGCAGACTCAGCGCTGTGGAGCAGAGCAAAGCGCTCCCTCCGCTGAAACCACCGGCACTTGTTGGGGGCTGAGCTAGACTTGGCTGTAAATCCTGAGTTGAAATAAAAACAAATTAAAAATTTTCTTTTAAAAAAAAAAAAGCAAAAAAAAAAGCACCCTTCCCTCTTTCAGTCCTGGGGGCCCGGGAGGAGGCTGGGACGGATGTTCCTGTTTTCCAGATGTAAGGGTTAAGGAAGTTTGGATTTGTTGAATTGACCAAAAGTGCATTGGTTGTCCAAAAACAGCGCTGAGAGCAAGGTGAGCTGCAGCCTCCGAGCCCTCAGCATGCGTCTTAGAGGGGGTGAGAGCCATCTCCTGAATCTAGGCTCAGGCCTTGGCTCTTCCCAGGACTCCTGCAAGCCTGGATTTAAAGAATTGTGTCAATACAAGAACACGTGTCGGTGAACGCATCCTGCACCCCTCTGAGCTGGGGGGAGAGACCAGGGCTGGATTCATCAACCCAGCCCCCGGAACCTCAGCCCCCCTGCCACCTACCCCTGCCCCGGGCAGTTTGTGGACAAAGCCAGCATGGAGAGTGTCATCAAATCATTTTGGTTGGAAAAGGTCTTTAAAATCATCAAGTCCAACCATAAACCGACCACCAGCAGTCAGGTGTTTTATTTTTCTGGATATACCTGCGGAGTTGGCAGAGGAAGAGGTTTCTGCAGGCGAGGAACGGGCGTAACCCGGGAGGGCTGCAGCGGGGCTCGATCTCCGCTCACCTTCCTTGGTGCGGCTGATCCCAAAATAAAGCAGGGCTGGAACTTTTCCAAATTTTTCCGCTCCCCGCGGCCAGGGGAAGCTCTTCGCTGAAATCCCAAAAGGGGAAGCTGCTATTTGAGTCAGGGAGGGGATTTCTCTCCGCAGAACAGAAATGCCAAGAAAGCTTTTGATCTCCGGGCTGAGCTAGCAAAGGGTTACGGATCCCTGACCTGTTTGTGCTCCGTCAGCCCTGGATTGTGCTTCCCTGGGCGGGCACGGGGGAATCGCCTTGGTGGAGGGAGGGGGGAAAAGACCCATGGTCCAGGCGACCGTGGGGATGCAGATGTGCCCCCCGGGGCACCCAGATGTGGCCCGTGGGCTTCTCCGGGGCGCGCCCAAGCAGATGGCGCTCCAGCTTCGCGCGTCCCCCGCCGCCCAAGGCTGTCGAGGCAGGC